TGAAGGACAGCACAGTTTCTTAGGGGCTTCTGGGTAGGTCTTCCCAGGACCCTTAGTCAGGGGGTTCACCGTCATATACAGATTCAAAATATCTCCTTGGGGCACTAAAGGAGCAACAGAAATCATGTGAAAAGTCTACACAGATGTTCTTATCCATTGAAAAAGCTCATTCTGGCTCAACTGGCGAGTAAGCAGCAGTGGTCCCTAGCAGTTGCCAGTAGTTGAAAATGCACAGAAGAAAAGCCGCAATTATCCCGGGACTGACCTATGCACACATTTTCATCGTCCAGCTCTGCAGAAGCATTTCTGAAGTAGCCCAGCCTGCATAACTCACAGTGCTGACCTCTAGTGTTGTGCTTACAGCTCACGCAAATGACCGTATTGAGCAGCTCGATGTAACTGCACCGGTTGGAGTGCCCGAAGCATTCACAGTCTTTCAAGGAAGAACAGAAATGTATACAAAATGTATACAGCAGCAGAGTAATAGCACATTACATGCTTAGTAAAAATGAACCATGAATAGAAGTATGAATGAATGGCACATACATGTTAATCAATGTAATATGGACAACAGCAGATGTGTATCTGCAATGGAAGTGAAGTTTGTTTCAGGCAGGTTAGCGTGACCCGGCAACCATGACATGACATCGAAAGTTGGCTGTTGTTGGCAGACCTGATGGAACTGAAGCATTTGCAGTTGTAAACCTTTCAGCGGTACTGGAGGCTGGGTTTCCAATGACAGAAATGCATGTCTTTTTGGACATTTGAGACGAGTATAAATCAAGACCTGGGAAAAAACTTCCTCATATTAAAAATATCAAATACAGTGGACAAACCTGTCAAACTTCATCATGCTTAAATCCACAACCGTAAGTAAAATAAAAGTTTTGTTCTGACATAAATGGTGAGTATTTGAAAATACTACTGAACTCAAGAGTACTGTAATCAGTAGGCACCTTGGGAACCAAACTGTTTCAAGACCAAACAAATCTCTACTTCGACAATTTTGGCCAGCACTTCCTAAAATGATTAACAGAGAAGAAAGTGAAGGGAGAGATGTTATTTAAGAGCTACTTCTACTGGACTTTTGAAGTAAGCATTAACCCATATTTATATTCTGAGATGAAAAACAATGGGGCCAGAAAAGATCACGGAAATTTTGAACTGTGTACTGCATAGAAAGCATGCTTACTGCACCCATCTGAAATGCAGTTGGCATGACAGCTGCTTTTGAAAAAACCCTTAATTAAACATAGAATGCTGGTGCCTTTTAGTCTTTACCCACAAGCAATGCTTGGTTTTATGCAGAAAGAAGGAGAAATTAGAAATGTATCAATATCATTATAAAAGGCACAGCTATGCTTTGTGTAGAAAGCTTGTCTAAGTCTGATCACTCAACTCTGAGATTATGAGCCCACAATGAGTACAGGAAAGGCTATTAGGACGATCAGAGAAGTAGAGAGCCTATTTAAAAAGTGAAGACTAGGATAATTTGGTTTGTTTAATCTAGGAAACTGAAGACAAGGGGATATCACTGAGCTATAAATACATCAAGGAGATAGCCTTCTGCCATCCTAAGTGAATATCTGCAGTAGTGGACAACACTGGCACAAGAACAAATGTGTGTTAACTGGCCATTGAGAAATTTCAACTGGAAATTAGGAGATGGTATCTAGCTATTACTGAGATTCTCAAACACTCTTCCAATTTGTAGCAAAAACACTGATGCTTTAGAGATGTAGTTTATTAACTGGTGAACAAGATTACGCTATGTTTCCTGCAGTAATTGAATACTGGATGCAGTGACTTGGAAGGGCTTCAAGGTCTTAAAGTTAAGTCTAGCCTGTAATTAGATAAAGCTGTTAGCAGAGGATGTAAAATGTTTCCATACATGACAGGGGCTAAGTCTCCTCTGCTGCCTTTCCTATGGTATGCTGCTGATCATGTTGGGGTACCTGGTGAGCCCACAGATTGTGGCATAGGCCATCAGATCCAGTATTTGTGCGTGGCTGTATTTATATGAAGCAGTAACAATACCAGTACATGTTTATGAGTATGTTATACTCACTTGATGCATATATATTTCTTTGGCCGTTGTCTGACGTAGTGGACTCTAAATAGATTGCATCTTTTCTTATATGGTACAACACAGGTTTCAATCTTGAGAACTGACTTTCTGCTCTCAGGAAACATTAATTCAATTTACATTTAGTTAACATATATACATTCTTGTTCTTTTCAGTGTTATCCTGCTACACCAATATTTTGTGGTTTATGCTAATTTGATCATTTTAATGCCTATAAGCTACAGGAGTACAGTAAAACATTTGATGTATTGGTCTCAGTATTTTACCACTTGACATAATTGAGTGGGGAGGAAAAAAGTGTTAATGTTTTGTTGTCTTTTGCAGCTGGTCAGTGTGATTCAGCGTCTCAGCCAGCAGCTGAGTGGGTGGCTTTCTCCCCTAGTATATCCATCTTGCTTGAATAAGAACTGCCTGTGTGGGTCAAAGGCAACAGATCTAAAAGTGGAAACTAGCACTGGCAAGCAGGAGTCACAGGGAAAATTGCTAAAAGTTTTTATGTGTTTGATTTTTAAAATAAGAAAGACTGGTTAGTGACAAGCAATCTGATCCTTCTGAATCTCAGATTCAGAAGCAGGGTTCTCTTAGTCTCTCTGTCTGACAAAGGACCTGTCTTCTGCAACCATTAGACATTTTTATGTTTCAAAAATATGTAGACTATAAAGAAGTGCTACTAAATCAGACTATGCTACATCATCTTTTGTGTTTAAAGTAGCAGAAAGAAATTGAGACTTCTGTAAATGAATGACTGCGCTACTTCCACTCTGAAACTGTGATATGACCTTTAATAATATTACTACTACACATAATTAGCCATTGCAAAAGCACAAGAAACAAAGCTGCACATAAAGTAATTCACTCCCTAACAAGCCTTGCTCCCAGTTATGATTTATGAGAAGCTCAACATGAGCCAGTAATGTGTGCTTGCAGCTCAGAAAGACAACCGTACGCTGGGTTGCATTAAAAGGAGTGTGGCCAGCAGGCTGAGGGAGGTGATTCTCCCGCATCTACTCCACTCTCGTGAGACCCCACCTGAAGTGCTGCATCCAGCTCTGGGACCCCCAACATAAGAAAGATGTGGACCTGCTCGAGTGAGTGCAGAGGAGGCCACAAGGATGATCAGAGGGCTGGAGCACCCCTCCTAGGAAGACAGGCTGAGAGATTTGGGGTTGTTCAGTCTGGAGAAGAGAAGGATCAGGTGAGTCCTTATAACGGTCTTCCAATACCTAAAGGGACCTATAAGAAATCTGGAGAGGGACCTTTTACAAGGGCATGTAGGGATAGAACAAGGGGGAATGGCTTTAAACTGAAAGTGGGGAGATTTAGCTTAGATATTAGGAAGAAGTTCTTTACTATGAGGGTGGTGAGGCACTGGCACAGGTTGCCCAGAGAAGCTGTGGCTATGCCATCCCTGGCAGTGTTCGAGGCCAGGTTGAATGGGGTTTAGAGCAACCTGGTCTAGAGGAAGGTGTCCCTGCCTATGGCAGGGGGTTGGAACTAGATGAGCTTTAAGGTACCTTCCAACCCAATCCATTCTATGATTCTATCATTTGGGCTGAAGAAACTTCTAATAATTATGAAGGACTTACTTAGTTTGATGTACAGACATGTTCATAAACATATGCAGAAATACTACGCAAGTTCAGACATGGCTTATCAATATTAAAGGTAAACACTAGGACCAATTCTTACACTTGGTTGCATTCCTATGCGTACTTCTCATTTGTTACAACTGTGCTGTGTGAAAGAAAGCCTTTGCCTCAGACACTAAGATACAGGAAATCTCTAGGAAACTTGATCATCAGACTAGTACATGGTATAGAAAACCCCCAGTTAACTCAAAACCAGTCTAACTTCTGATCAAAGGTTATCAATGGTGCAAAGGAAAAAAAAAAGGCATAGCAAGTAATAATTAAATACATTTTTTGATAATTTTAAGCTTCCCCCCACAAGTCCCCCCATTTTGCTAGTGCAATGGTACGAACTTATTTTGCCTACTGCTGTTGGCCTAATCAATGAATCATTTTCACATCCCTCTGTGTTCATATAAAAAATTAGGTAAAGGGTCCTCATATGATTGGAATGGAATTGTTTTCTCCACTGGCTACATGAGGTGCTACCCTATACCAGTCAATGTACATACACCATACACCAGTCAACTCTACATAGCATTTAGAATTGCATTCAGCATTGTGCCAGCTGTGGAAGCTAACACGTGTGTGGCCATTCTATCTTATCATGTGGTTCACCTTAACCAGCACACCAAGACCAGAAAGTAGCCTGTTAATTAGAATTGTTAGAAGCATATCTTAAGGCCTCTGGCTATCAGCCCAACCACTTTCATGTACTGGCAAAGTCATGCAATCACTGAGAGACATGGGGCATAAGCATCAAAATCAGGCTGCAAATGGTTTATTAACAATAAAATGACATGAGCTTACAGTGCTAGAAAATGCTGCTTTCAGTTCTGAGTACCACATGTCAGAAGAGACACAGATAAACTGGAAACAGATTAAAGCTGAATAACAATAAGGAGTAAATGCTTTGTAAAAAAAAAAAAAAAAAAACCCAAAAAAGAGGAAAGTTAGAGATAGCTAGATAGTTTTGACGTGAAGGAAAAAGGGAGAAGAGATAGCCACATTAGATTTGATAATTGTTTTTGGATTATTCAGGAATTGTCTAATCCCTTGTCAACTCATAGAAGAATTGTTTGTATGACCCTTTAAAGACTACTTCCAACATAATGATTCTATTGCAACAATCTTGATCCTGTTGTAGAAAGCGTGATAAAATTACCCACTGAAGGAGGATCATAAAGAGATTTATCATTTAACTGTTTTGTTTCTATATATTGAATACTTTTTTCCCCATTATAATGCTATGCATTTACATCTTTGAGATGATGTACTATTGTGTTGTGGGGACAAGGTTCAGCTGAAGCCTCAGCTGCGACCAATAAAACATAAAACGTCATCACGTGAAACAATGGTAAACATACATGGAAGGGAAGCATAATTAAACTAAGACAGCTAACACATGAGACAGCTATAAGTGTAATTTTCTAATTAAAAGCACAAGGAATATTTCAAGAACAGCGCATTCAGAAATAATTAAAATATTTTTTTCTTTTTCGCTTTCCAGTAACTCTGTGTTCCTCCTTTATACAATAACAAAAGGCAACAAAAGAGATTTCATTGTAACCTCAAAAATGACCTGCTTCATAAAAACCAGTATGGCTCATTATCATGATCTCATCAAATGGGTCAAACTAAGTTCAAACACTTGTTAATACCCCTATTGCTTGTTAATATGTATTTCATGAATAATGAGATATTCACAATAGCTACAG